ATCTGTTTCTGTCCGCCTCCTACCAAATACTTAAGAACAGGAGCTGTAACTGACACGTCAAGTTAAAATCCACCTCTGTTTTACACCAGCTCTACTCTGAGCAACACCTTCCATCCTGTGGTCAGCTAAATACTGGTATTTAGCAGTATTTGCTAAATACTGCTAGTATTTAGAACTGCAGAACTTGCACCTCTGTCTCACATGTTGTGTCAATCCTTGCTTGGAAGGCTGAAGACATAACTCAATGTTTTCACTAGGATGCTGAACTCTGAACTGCAGCAGCTATGACTCATGTGCCTCGCATTTTGCTGCCCCTGCTGCTCACAGAGAACTTGCAAAGAACCGGGACAGACAAATCTTCAGATATCTCAGCATTGCCAGACTTACCAAAATCCTAATTCTCCTTCTTATTTCCCATCTCCTGCCCCTCAAACAAAAACAGGACTTTCCTAAACTGCTAATACAGCTGCATGGGTGAACCTCTTCAGTAAATAAAAGTTTAAGCTGATACAGCTTATATTGAATCAGCGAACGAAACAAAGGATAGCAAAAGACTTTCCCACTGATACAATGAAGTTTGTACTGTTTTTACAGGTATGGCCATATCCATTAAGAGCAGGGGGTGGGGGTATTTGTCATGCACCTGTCCCAGTAACACTTCCAAAACAGAGCAAGGCCAAGGTATGTTAGCCAAAATCCAGTTTTGTCAATCCATAAAACCACACGTACACTGCTGGCTGTCACCAGCACAGGCATGTGGGTTGCCACAACACATCTTTTTAATGCACGAATAAACAGGAACAATAAGCTGGGCAAGGACATCACCATTGATGGTCCTGGAAGTCATCAGGGTATGTGTTTAAAGTCTAAACTACACATTTCTATGTAATTGCATACAGACTGAGTGATCAGAAAAGAAGTTTTACTTCTGAAAAAACAGCAAGTAAAAAGCAAAAAAAAAGTCCACATCCACTTGTAGTATTTGCAATCTTTGGGACTCAGGAACAAACTCACCTACATCAACCTAAAGTTTTACTCACGCAAAAAATGCTATAAAGAGCAATTCCAGCCTCCTCCTCTACCTCAGTCTAGGAAAATGCAGGGAGGACCCAAATTTGCCATTGAGAAATGAGATGTGATCAAAGTACAACATGGGTTAAAAGCCTGGAAAAGTGAACAAGACCTAACCATTTATTTGATCTTCTAAGGCTTCCTAATCCAAATCTAACAATACATTAGGCTCATATTAGGTGAAATTTGTGTTTCCATCAAGTTAATTTTTATCCCCACATTTTTTTTAAGGAATCTCATATGTGCAAAATATTGAACAAAAACATTAAGATTTTCATATTGGGAATGCTTCTGTTAGATGAGCTGCTCACCTAGTCCAAAGCCCTATCAGACGCTGTAATCAGGACTACATATGTCAGAGGAAGATGAAATCATTGATCCATCTGTCAATAGGGAAGACATCTTCCTAATCCCCTCAGTAAATAACTTGTCTGTTCTGAAACCTTATAATCTCTTTATCTTACATAGTGTAACTGTGGACATTCTCACTATGGATACTTAATCCTCTCAAAGATGATAAACTTCTGGCCTCAGTAATATTACTGTGGCATTAAGTTCCTCATACTCACTACATGTAATGCAAAGAATAATTTCCATTAAGGGTTTTTAAGTATCTGATATTCACTGCATGACCTATGCTATATTATTGTGAGAATAGGGCTCTACTTTTCATTACATTGTTTGTAGGTTCATCTACAGGTAGATAGTCAGAAAAGTTGATTTGAAGTAAATGGATGTTTTAATTCAATTTTAAAGCATTAGTTTAGCTACAATGTTAAAATGGATAAATTATACTATATTAAAAGCCTGTTATGGATGTACATATTCAGAATTAAAATGGCCTTAATACAATTTAGCTCACTTTGCTTTCAAAGTAAAGGGAGACAAACCAAATGAAAGCCAGTTATATTTTGAATAACAGTATCTACACAGTGATTCAATGTAATTCAACTTGTAATTTTAAAATCCCATATTTTGTCACCTCAATTTTTTTTTCCCTCTGCGTTCCTGTGTAAACCATTCATCAGTAAAGCCAGCAAAGAATACAGTTCACAGCTCCAGTAGGTTTAGGGTGAAGTGACTCTGGCTGCAACTTCAGGGACCATACTGCACGTAAATAAGAGTAATGAATTTTTCCAGTGTACTATGTCTGCACTTCAGGAGTGAATACTTGCTTCCTAACAACTGTAGGTCGCCCTCTTCAAAGCCTTAGTTGGTTGGGATAGCCCTGGATAAACTGGCTAACAGAGGTACAGTGGTGTTAAGGGTGACGCAGGGCAGAACTACTCCTGGCAGATGATGCCAGGAAGAGTTGGAAAGGAAAGCACATGTAGATGATGGGGCAGAATAAGCAAGCTGTCACACTCGTGTTTCTGCTTCTTAACTCTGAATGCACCTAATTAGTTATCTCTTCTGCCAACACCTCCAGTGACAACAATGACAAGAAGATTCTAAGAATATGTACTCCATGAGAATGCCCATAGACAGACTTGCTGCAGCTTTAATGTAGACCTTGGGGTTCGGGTCTGCAGCAAAACCTTGCTCGGGTACATGTCTGTATTTGTGTCTATTTTAAATAAACATGCACATCCAAATAAAGACCATTGCTTGCTGTCTTTCTGGTTAAAGCTCAAGCCTTCTCACACCTCAACTATGAATATTTGCTAATAAGTAAAGTACTAGCAAAACCACTACCTCACCAGGATTTTCTGAGTTTCCAAAATTAAGGACTTTCCCCTCATACCAATTTTTTTCCAAGTGACAACCATCTTCAGACCATCACCAGCTCAGACAGCTCAAGATAACTACCAGCTAACTCTGCCAAATCCATAAGGTCTAGGCATAGAGTTCTGTTAAGCTTGGAAAGAGATTTAAATTGGATTTCATTTTAGAGTAGTAGGCAATTCAACTTTTTTTACACCTAAAAACAGACTCTCATACCACATTTTTGAAACTCAGCTGCTTGGCAGGAAACAACCCATGTCTTCTAGGATCTTTGAAGAGAACTTGGCCAGGAAAGAAATCAGAATTGAGCCAGGACTAACCAGGGTAAGTGTTGCTTATATCTGCAGATTACCGCTCTTTGCTTTTCTAATTCACTCACCATGCCTTATCTTTCCATTAATCTTTAATAAACCTTTTAGTTAATTCTCCAAACATGCACAATCTACATGACAGCAGGACACAGTGCAAAAGCAGTCCATGGATATGAGGGAACAGGCAGCAGAGGAATCAAAAGGAGGAGAAAAACAGGATTAAAAAACACCCAAACTGCAGGTCAGTAGAAAATGATGACTGATTGGGAGAAAGCAGTGGCAAGGGGCAAACCAGAGAGGAGGCAGGGGCCACAAGGGTATTAGTGTTTCTCCAGCTGTTGGAATAATTTTCTCAATGAGGCTCTCCTCCCCTTTCCACTCTAGTTCCACTTCGACAAAACAGTCAATCAAATTCCAAGCTTGGAGCCTCTGAAATGCAGAAAACACTCTCCAGGCTCACAACAAAGGTATAGCTGGATTAAAAGGTAAATGCAATTTAACCCACCCCCACAGAAATGGTAAACAAATTATATTGCCTCTAAATATGATAAGTTTGGGGCTGGGGCCCTCAGGGGAACAGAAGGTGTCTTGCAAACACAAAGACACATGCTAAAGGGAAATGCTAAATCAATGGATGAATTGTGACTTCTATGCTCCTTCCCTCCCACAGGGTGCTTGATAAGCTGCTGATTGCTTCTAAAACATCTACTACCCATGTTAGGAACTGATTAAGCAGCTTACAAAGCACTGGGGGCTAATAGACAGGCCCACCAGGGAGACTGCAGCTCTGGCACTAAGTAGCTTGCTTTTTCATGGATTGACTATTAAAGATGAGATAGCAGAACATGCTGAAAGATGTGGAAACAATTACAGACCTCAGATGACTGGCCTTTTTATTTTATATATGGAATAATTTCTACCCTGTGGCTTCACCAGCCAACAAAAAGCCATGTTTCCTGCAGTTCTGTAGTGTCAGGCTCTGAGGGACATCAGAACTACCTTAACTTGTATGTGTCAACTGAACATCCAGAACTGACTACACTACCCCCATTATCCTGTGGAAAAGGGACCACTAGAAAAGGGAAACATCAGTGGGAGAAGCTTAAAATCATGAGTTTTACCTATCACTGGCAATGGCATTAGTGTGTGAACATAGATGTGCCCAGTCCAGCTAATGAGTCCTACCTCATTGCATCTGAGCACTGCAGCACATTCACCTTAAGACTCCCTATCCTCTCTTTTCAGCTTTTTTGTCAAATTCTTGTTTAATCTGGTATGCAATAAAATTCTGCTATTCAGAGAGATGTACTGCAAGGTACTTGCTCAGTTCAATCAATATCAATGCAAAGACATTTTGCTGGCACATTATCTCTTCTGTGGTCACATCTGTCACAGTAACAATACCATGGCCTAACCTTACATAGCAGGCTTCCTGAGGTTTTTGTGGGCTTTTTTCCCCTCTTGTGGTAATGCCTAGCAGACTTTGTAAATAAAGCACGTTGCACCAGGGACTGTACAAACTCATAAATTCCTGAATAACTATTCTTTCAAGCAAAGAAATAAATACTGCTTGTCATCCATAGGCTGAGCCATAGAGGAGCCTTCACTGATCAGATGAAAAATTTATCACAGGAAAGTTCTCTTTGCAGACTAAAGTTTTCTTTCGCAGATGCTTCCCAGACCCTTTTCATCACTAACACTCTAAGCTTTCTTTTTCTCATCCCTAACCAATGCCCCTGTTTACCCATTTTTATGTTAAACTATAAACCACAGAGATGGCTTAGAAGTAAATCTATTTATGCAACGATTGGCTAGAAAGGAGAATGTACTATTAACACTGAAGATAAGAACAGGCTTGTTGTGTAACAGGTAGAATTAGTTGAAGGAACTTACCTGCTGAAGGTCTGCGAGAGAATAAAGATGGATTTGCTGGAGAAGATACTCTCTGGGAAAGATCCTGAAAAAGAGGAAAATGGATGTGTCACCCCTTTTTGACTGGGAAACTCAAATGATTTCCTCTCCCCACCAAAAGACTGTGGAACAGCTATGCTAGAGTGAGCTTGTCAGAAACTGGAATTTTGACACCATGTAAGGACCAGCTACTTTGACAGCATTCCTCATGGGCACAAAAATTCCACACTAAGAATGAATGCTGTGCCAGTGTCATTCTCCAGCTGTCAGCTAAGCATGTCTATCTTTGTGTACACACACAGAGAAACAATCAGCCAACCAGCTCTATTTCCCATCTACACAGAACAAATATAACACCATGCTAAGGAATTGTGAGTGGAGAACCACATCACCCTTGCAAAAAAGCAACCAGCTACGTCAAGAGGTTCAACTGTTTTAAATTACATGTTGCTTAGAGAAGAAACTGAACTTGGTTTCTACATTGCAATCATGTAGTTTTAAGGCCATACAGAAATTATATTATTGATATTATTAAATGCATAAACAAAGCCCTGGCAAAGACTGGTTTGTAACAGTAGAATCGAACAGCAGTGAACAGAAACGCCACTGGACACATTAAAAAAAATCAAAGATACTAGAAGGCAAATATGAACTTACATTACCATTTCATGAGACTTATGAGAAAGCACACAGGAACTCCAAGATGAACTTTTAGAAGCTGCAACAACATAATTTGCTAAAACACAGATCAGCAGGGATGACAGTACCAACTACAGTCTTTGACAGAACATGGAATCTAAGAAACACTGGAAGGATCCTGGTTCATTCTACTCCATTAGTTGTCCTAAACAAGTATCTTAAACTGATGCTTTCAAAGCTGTCTTGGAGAGAGTCGGACTTTTTGCTGCCATTATGGTGAGTAGTACAAAGTCTTATCTTCTTACTATACTTTTGAAAAAAAATCTAAGCTTTATTGGAGTGGGAGGGGAAGAGTCCTGCAAGCAAAGCATGGACAACTGAGCACTGTCAATCTTGCAGTACTCTTCTGGAGCAGAATGGTGCTCTTGCTCCTTCTGACTCTCCAAGCAAGTCTGCTCTACCCGCCTAATTCTCAGCTGCAGTCTCATTGGGACACTGCTTTTTCCCATTTCAGTTCTCTAGGCTACATCATTGCACCTATGCTCCCATTGCTCCATCTCTAGATGAACATGGTTCAGTTGCTCTGCTGCATCACAACTTCATAATACATTTGGCACAACGTGAAAGACCACAAGAAAACAGTCAAAATCCTGATAATAGACAACACATGACATTGGGATTCCGCATTTGCAAATAGATGATTGATTCAAATTGCTTGCAAAGGAGTAAAATCTGACTGCATTTTGAAACCATTATTATTTTTCAGCTCTGACAGAATTTATTTCATTAAAATTTCCCCATCATTCTCCCCTAATCACACAGGCAGGCTCTCAACAGTGCGGTAGCTTTGCCAGGAACTATATTATTTGCTGATATCCTTACAGCACTGCTAAGCAAAATCATTAGTTAATGAAAGATTTCCTTTTTCAGGAAAGAGTCTGAACAGCCCGTAAGGCAGAAACTGTCAAGGACTAATACCAATTACTAACATCATGTTCCCCTGCCTTCAAGGACTGCATTTTCTTTCCTGCAAGTTCTAACTCCTAATAAAAAGTGGCAGATGAGAAGCAAACCCATGACTAAGGGACTAACTTTGGCAGAGGGGTCTCAGCCACCAGAGGCCGTGGTGACAGTCATCCTCTCCCTGTACTTCACCTCTCTGACATATGTTACTTTGTGCCAGCAGTTCTGCAAAGCCAGCATCCAACACTCCTCCCCCCTTCCAAAGCTATTTCTGGGAAAAGACAGGCACTGTCCTCCCAGTCTTATGCAAAACACATACACACACAAACCAGGCACTCAAGTGAAAGGGGTGCTTATGAAAATTGAGGCATTAAAAATCCCTCAGTAATAAAGGCTGGTCAAGCTTCAGATTTGCAGTCCTTCTATTGACTCAAAAAAATAAATCACAATTTAGTTATGGTGGGCCACAGAAGAACAGCTGAGCAGCCAGAGCTCGTATGTGCAACAGCACTTACAAAATGTCTTACAAAGCAACCAGGCCAGTTCCTGTATGACTCCAAACACATGTGGAGGTGCGAAACATTCCCTTGACACTTGTCCACATCACCAAAGGTGGTGAGCACACAGCTCCATGAGTATGAAGTCAATGAAATCACCTAAAAGCAGGCAGCTCAGTCCCATATCATCTAAAATAGAAATTGTGCGCCCTCACCACACCTGTGGTGAGCTGAGCGGTTGTTTCAAAAACACATCTTACTGTGTTGCCTGCCTGCAATTAAGGTCTCCTCCAGCAAACTTCTGCTACTCCCATTTGGAAAGAAAAAACAAAACTGAACAGCTATCTGAACATCACACACAAAGCCATCTCCCAAAAACGCGTCTGTTTATTCCTAGTTTTGTCAGTGTCTAGTGCGTGGAGAACAGGAATCATAGAATCATAGAATCATAGAATCTTAGGGGCTGGAAGGGACCTCGAGAGATCATCTAGTCCAACCCCCCTGCCAGAGCAGGGTCACCTGAGTACATCACACAGGAACTCATCCAGGTGGGTTTTGAATGTCTCCAGTGAGGGAGACTCCACAACCTCCCTGGGCAGTCTGTTCCAGTGCTCTGTCACTCTCACAGTAAAAAAATTTTTTCGGATATTCACCTTGAACCTCCTATGCTCCAATTTACACCCATTACCCCTTGTCCTATCACTGGTCATCACCGAGAAAAGCCTAACTCCGTCCCCCTGACACTCACCCCTTACATATTTGTAAACATTGATGAGGTCACCCCTCAGTCTCCTTTTCTCCAAGCTAAAGAGACCCAGCTCCCTCAGCCTTTCCTCATAAGGGAGATGTTCCACTCCCTTAATCATCTTTGTAGCTCTGCGCTGGACTCTTTCGAGCAGTTCCCTGTCCTTTTTGAACTGAGGGGCCCAGAACTGGACACAATACTCCAGATGTGGCCTCACCAATGCAGAATAGAGGGGGAGGAGAACCTCTCTTGACCTACTAACCACACCCTTTCTAATGCACCCCAGGATGCCATTGGCCTTCTTGGCCACAAGGGCACATTGCTGGCTCATGGTCATCCTCCTGTCTACCAGGACCCCCAGGTCTCTTTCACCTACACTACTCTCCAGTAGTTCAGCCCCCAACCTGTACTGGGACATGGTGTTGTTCTTCCCCAAATGTAAAACTCTGCACTTCCCCTTGTTGAATTTCATCATGTTTCTCCCCGCCCAACTCTCCAGCCTATCTAAGTCTCTCTGAATGGCAGCACAGCCTTCTGGTGTGTCAGCCACTCCTCCCAGCTTAGTGTCATCAGCAAACTTGCTGAGGGTACATTCTATACCCTCATCCAGGTCGCTGATGAAGATGTTGAAGGAGCGTTAAGAGGCACCAGAATATCAAACTCAAACACGTTTTCAAAAAACCTCATGGTAAAAAGCAAGCAAATAAGCTGGGGAAGGAAAGCCACGCAGACCAAGAAGTCCAGTGAGCAAGGGTTTGCTCATCTGCACAGGTTCTCTGAGCCTAACAGGGTGATAGCTCATATAAAGTATTTTTCAGTAGGGGACACACAGTACTAATTCAAAGATTCTTGCTTCTTGACTGAGACATTTCCTCTCATATCACTAGTAGGGACGCAGTCTTTGCCATCTCCATCCCTCCGTCAACTGAAACTGGGCAGATGAAGCCAAAAACCAATAGCATACAGAAGGGGAGATGGGACTCATGCAAACACCATGCCATTGCATTAGCATCCAAAGTGTTAAATGGCTTCGAAATCAACGTAAAATCCTATTCATGCCTAAAAATCTGACACAGGCCACAGAACAGCCTAAGATTACTATACTTTAAAACATTTCACTAGAAAATACATATTTACTTTCTGCATGAGCATTGAGTTAATAAAAAGACCTTGATCCAGAAAAGACCAAAACATGTGCTTGTATTTTATTTTTCCCTTGATATAAGGTCCTTTACAAACACCAAATGGAAAATGTCTGATAAATTATTTGAAAGCAAAATAAAAGATATCTGTTTTGTAAATCTTTTGATTGATGTACTATAACAAGCTGGATTATTTAAGTTTGTCAATTAAAAGCATTCAATAAACAATGTCCTTTCAGTCAAATCTTAAAACAGAAAAAACCCTAGAATGAGCTAGCCACAGGTCAAACACAAGATGTTAAAGACTCATAACAATAAAAACTCAAATCTCTGCTGCTTCAGAATGTGACCTGTGATCCTTGAGAGGCAAATGGTGTTGAGTGCATGTCCCACTAAAAGCACCTCCTAGGTTTTTACAGTTTGGAAACTCCCGGACGAGTTTCACCAGCGATGCAAAAACAGAACAGTCGTGAGTCATAGGATTGCTGCACTGTAAACCCTGGCTACCAGTCAGGGTTAAGACTGCAATGAACAAACCAAGTTCAATGTTAACCAGCCCTCTGGCTTTGCCAGTTCCTGCAAACAATGAAATCCAAAGTCCTATTGGTTAAAGGGCTCTAAATTGCTTTATTGTTTTGTGTTAGAAATAAAACAAATAAATGAAAGCAGGAAAGAAACACACCATGAGAGATTTCTGGTCCAACTAAAAGAGAGAATAGCACATTTTTAGTTTGTGATTATTATTCTTTTTTCTTTCATACTTTGTAATCCACAGCATAAACCTCAGGCAAGATAGAACCAGAAATGTAATCTGTTCCCTTTCGGATGATCTTATCAAGTAAGTATTTGCACAAACAAAGGTTATCTTTTAGTGTCCTCCTGCAAACAGAACCTCTGATAAGACTTTGCTCTTTGCATTTGGACAAAGTGTGTAGTCATGGTGCTTTGTTAGCACTAAGTAATTGCTCTGCATTTAAAGCCTGTTTATCATTGGCTTAGGTAATTTTTCTCCAACGGGTTAAATACCCTGACAGCTCTGCTAAAGCTACCACCAATTAAT